TGACAAGAATACTGTGGGAGACCGTGCCAAAAGCTTTGCTAAAGTCAAGAAACAATACATCCACTGCTTTCCCAGAACCAGTAATCTCATCATAGAAGGCGATTAGATTAGTCAGGCATGACCTTCCCTTGGTGAATCCATGCTGACTGTTCCTGATCACTTTTCTCTCGTGTAAGTGTTTCAGGATTGATTCCTTGAGGACCTGCTCCATGATTTTTCTGGGGACTGAGGTGAGGCTGACTGGCCTGTAGTTCCCAGGATCCTCCTTCTTCCCTTTTTTAAAGACTGGCACTACATTAGCTTTTTTCCAGTCATCCGGGACTTCCCCCGTTCGCCACGAGTTTTCAAAGATAATGGCCAATGGCTCTGCAATCACAGCCGCCAATTCCTTTAGCAGTCTCGGATGCAACGTGTCCGGCCCCATGGACTTGTGCACGTCCAGCTTTTCTAAATAGTCCCTAACCGCCTCTTTCTCCACAGAGGGCTGGCCACCTACTCCCCATGCTGTGATGCCCAGCGCAGCAGTCTAGGAGCTGACCTTGTTCGTGAAGACAGAGGCAAAAAAAACATTGAGTACATTAGCTTTTTCCCATATCCTCTATCACTAGGTTGCCTCCCTCATTCAGTAAGGGGCCCACACTTTCCTTGGCTTTCTTCTTGTTGCCAACATACCTGAAGAAACCCTTCTTGTTAGTGGCCAGGATGGTGTTACCAATATAAGAATTGAAAGGAAATAGACAACATAAGCAAGCTGTAAGCCTTACAGAAGCAGATGTGTTCACGGGCCCCAACCCTGCAAAGACTTATGCATGGTCATCTTTTCACACGTGAGCAGTCCCAGTAGAGCCAACGGGCATAAGTCATTGAAGAATCGAGGTCTGAGTGGAGGAACGACTGGACTGAGACGCAGGAGGCCTGAGATTCTATTGCCATGCTGCCACTGGCCTGCTGGGAGGCCTTGAGCACGTCACTGCTTCTCCCTGTGCCTCCGGCCCCCCACCTGTAAAATGGGTACAATGATACTGATGGCATTGGCAAAGCACTTTGGGCTTTAGTGATGACGCAGTATATGAAGGAGGCAGTAACAGTGCGTGAAGATGTGCACTGCTACTTGAAACATGGATATCCCCTTCTCTGTCCAGAAATGGTATTCTCAAAGGAAAGAGAAGAAACAGGAACCAACAGCTTCCATCCACATCACAAACTGCAGGTGTGGACAGTTGAATCAGAATTTAAAATATACACAATAGATGCACCATAGTATGGTACTTAACTCTTCTACCCATTCACTTATTACAATTTTTTTCCTGGCATACAATTTTGTTTTCTTCACTGACTCCTTATAGACTCAAGGTTCACACCTAAAATACACAGCTAGCTGGAAAAAGTAACGGACAGATGCACCCAATTAATACTGAATAAGACACGCATGTCCAGCCATTCAAAGTTAATAAAGTAATCAGATGTTAAAATAAACTACAGTTAACAAATCACTAAGTGCTATCCTCTAGCTTCCTGAGTGTTTTTTCAGTTGTGTTGCTTTGGTGCTGATTTGTATCAGTTGCAAAATGTTGTTGATAGTACAACATGCTGACATCAATACAGTCCTTCCGGAGCACAAGCGCCATCCTTGGGCCAGATTTTCTGGTTCACAGGGATGATGCTTTGCAAACTGGGTGCATTTCCTGATTCTCTGTTGACCCTGGTGCAGGGTAGAGCAACCTGGGGAGTGCTGTAACTAGAGCTAGCTTGGCAAGAAACCATCCACTAGTTCAGAATAGCGGGAGTGCATCATGGTCCAGCCACTCCTCCCTCCCTGTTCCTACATGCTCTTCCTTGCCCCTGCAGGGAGGATAGCACAGGAGCTGACTGTGCTGGCTCTGCAGTCACTTGGGACTCCCGCATACCAAGCAAGGGGGATGCAGCCAGTCTTCAGTCCCTTTGCACTGTATGAGCAGTACAAAGCGTATGTAGCAGGAGAGAGAATGTGCCCTGTTGTTCCCCCCCAGCATCTCTATATGGACCCATGGCACATAGGACATGTATGATACGGTAAAGGAGCAGACTCACCCCTCCAGCACCTCCTGCTGGTCATTGGGGAATTAGCTCTTTCCAGCACAGAGCACCCTCTGCAAGCCGGTGATCCGCACAGCTCTGGCACCCCTGTCCATCACAGACCCCAGTGCCCCTTTCTCTGGGTTCTGCCCCCTGGCAGCACCCCCACACTCTGCCTCTGGGTCTCCCCTTCCTGGGGGACCCCCAGCCCCCTATCCTCACCTTGCCTCAGTCTGGGCTACTGCCAGTCATCACCAAGCCCCCGCTCTCTGGGGCAGACTGCAGTGTAAAGGCCACTCATCATAGGCAAGGGGGTTCAGACCTGTTGCCTTCCTCTGCCTCCCAGTACCTCTGTGGGCCTTGGACCAGGCCCTACAGCCTGGGGAGTTGCCAGCCTGGAGCACCCCACTCAGCCTGCTCCTTCCCCAGCACTGCACCACCCTCAGTACCCTGTCAGCCAGGCCCTGCTCTCACCCAGCCTGGAGAGAGACTCCTGGGGCCCCTGGCTCACAGCCTTTTTATACAGGCCAGCTGGGGGCCTGATTGGGGCATGGCCCAGCTGCGGCTGCTTCCCCAATCAGCCAGCCCCAACCCCAGCCCTCTCCAGAGCTGCTTTTAACCCCTTCTATTTTAGGAGCGGGGTAGCCACCCCCCTACAGATACATTAATATTTCTATGCATTTCTCGCCGCTCCTGTCAATTCTTCCCCTCCTAGTGCGCAGCACCTCGGAAAGACAAGCCATCAGCAGCAAAGGCCAACAGTGGCTGAATGCTGCAGCAATCCGGGCAAGCGTTCTCATCACTCAAGATCTCACCTGTCGCCATCAGCACCTGCTACAGAACGCTGCACCAGTGTGGCCTGACACCCCTCGCTAGCACGCCTGGGCCCGCACGTATCCCACTTCCCTATGCCTTTAAATATTCAACCCTGGCAACCTGGCTCCGCCCCGTCTTCCCTCTTTGACCTGTTCAAACAGCTACACTCTTCTCCTGGAGAAACCACCCTTGAAATCAGTAGGCACGCTCCACCCCTTGCCAACACCCCTCCACCTCTCTCCTGTGGTAACAAGCTTGCACAGCTCTAAGGCATGGACGTGGGCCACATCTCCTATAGGAAGGCTTTGGAGGGTTATCACCTCCAGGTTTTCTATGTGGCCAGTCAGCCGTTCCCTTGAAGAGGATTTGCCTCCATTGATAGCTGTCACAGTCCCAAGGGAACCCTGTGATCAGTATCTGCCCTGCAACCTTTATTGCTCGGCTGTGTGAGAGACTCTCTGTTTATAACCCCTGAATAATATCTGCTGAACTGCAATATCCAAAACAAAAGTGATTGATACCCCCTGACACCTGTTTCTCTGTAAGAGATGTGGTCGCCTGCCAATTGCCTTCCTGTATTTTCTGAATGTAAATGATTCTCCAGCTCTACTGCCATACAGACGGCCAAAGTGACCAGAAGAACAGTCCTACGCCGGCCGTAGCTGTGGCTAGGCATCTTTTCAGCTATTTTGCTTGTGCCGTCTTTTTTTACAATGGGAGAATCTAATGCTCCTATAAGAGGCGGAGAACGCCAGTCAATGCCCTGGGAAGGTGTATTACAGGCTTTTCCACAACATACTGTCCTATGGATGAGCCTCAGACTGACTCGTAGGGCCCTTTTTATCCCACGCCTTGACCCTTCCTGAGCACAGGCTATCATGCAACATTAAACCAGTGTGTTGTGTCTGCTAATGTCATTGTGAACCATTGAAGGGGACTAGGAGACGCTTGTCCAAATGGTGTCTTCTGTCCATTGAGATCCTTGGACTAACGGAGCTTGGATGAAACCAGGACACATCATCCCTTGTGACCTAACTCAGGTCTTGGAAAGAGAATGCTAGTGCATTAACTCACTGTACCATCAAACTGCCCTTTGTGAAGCACTGACTACATGATTGAACTGTACAGAACAGAGTAAGACACGGTCTCTGCCCCACACTGTGAAAGGAACCCGACACAAGGCGTGAACCCACACTGCTGAGCTCAGAGCCAAGATACCTTGCAACTGTGGTTTGGTTCTGCAAATAATGATCTCATGGGTTCACGCCTCTCTTACATGCTGACTGATGCTTGCATCAGTGAATTTAGTAATGCTCCTGGCAAAGCGTAGAGGGCAGGAGAAAAAGTTCCAAGTCACAGTGCTAACCTGGAACAAAACTGAAGGGATATGGCGACAGTGTCAAGTAACCCCAGGCAACGAGTAGGTTGACCTTGTCCGTGAAGAAAGAGCAGTGGTTTGGCACTCTGTGGGTTTGGGGTGGATAGGAAACACTACAAAGAACAAGGCTTAGAGTGCTTGGATTTGGGGGGTTCACCTGTGCAGTGTGTCTGGGAGGATTCTGCTTCTGTTTCTTGTTCTAAGTTGCAGGGCATGTTTATAAGGAGCTTGCTAGTGTCACTGGGAGCCCTCTCAGACAATTAACATTGTTCAGTCTTTAAAATGGGCTAAGCCCAGGGGCTGATTCTTGCAGGATACTCAGTGATACTTGTCAGGAGGAAGGATCGGCTCATGATTAAGTCTTGGGCCTGGCAACCAAGAGGACCTGGAGTTTATTACAGCACTGAGTCTCACATCCTCACAGGTATTTAGGCTCCTGACTTCCACTGAATGGAAGTTAAGAGCCTAAATATCTTAGAAGGGTAGAGTGTTGTTATTACGTTATAGAATGAGCAGGAAGGGAGGGAGGTTCTGGCAACATCCCAGTGCCCAAAGCAAAGGAGCAGGCCCTCTGAATGTCAACAAGTCATTCCACCCCATTCCTGTAAGGGTATGAGTGTGAACCAGCTGGTGCTTCAATTGAATCAAAAGAGCCCCGAGGTTCAGATGAAATCCACAAAGACCCCTGGGTCTTAAGACCTGACCTGGTCTTAACACCTAAGAGTACGGAGGAGCAATAACAACCTCACAGTTAAGGTGTCAGCAAGTTTTCTCTTTAATTCTTAAGCGCTTAGCTTTGGAATGGAGGTGCAGGAGCAGCCCTTTCTTCTCTTTCTCCCCCCCCATAGCTGGCTGTGGTTTTTCTCCCAACAGGGACCCGAGCCAGTGCTGGTGGAGGGCAGTTACAGGAACACGGTGACATTTACTAATCAGCTCTAACCTTAGATCCACACACACACAGTCTCGCTTGCTGTCTTGTCTCCATGGAGACACAGCAACCTTTGCTCACTAGTTAATGGTATCTGGGAACAGACACCACCCTTCCTCCCAACACCCTCTCCCGCACACCCGGAGGAAATGGGAACTTGCCCACTGCAGGAAAACCTGTCTCTTTCCTGCAGGACAATTTGCTTCTGAGACTGGGGAGGAAGATGCCCTGTTTGCATTGCTAATAGAGAAGCAAGCAGAACACGGCCCTGCGTGTGTGATTGGGGGGAAGAGGGGGCGGGGGACTAGTGCTAGTTATGGTGGAGCCTCACAATAGTTTAATAGATGGAGAGATCATCTTATTCTCCACAGACCTGCCAAGAAAACATATTCAAGGCTTTTTTTGTATTGCAGTAGTGATAAGGCTCTCTGTCCATAGAGTACAATGGTGTCCTTGGCAGGGTTCTACATTGCTAGGCAGGGCAAAATTTGTGCAGTTCATGGCTCTGTGGTGGATGTCCTTCCCTCCTCCTTTCTGCAGCTGACACACGCAATCATCCAGCGCCGAGGGTCACCCGGGCTTGATTATTTAACAGCAGATTTCGGGGTCGGTGCCAATGAAATCAGCCAAGCATCCCGAGAGGTTAGGGTGACCCAGATGCCTCGGTTTCCTGAAGTTATAGTCACACATACCAAAAAAAATCCTCATGTATTTAATACCGACATGACTGAGTGACCTGGGGGGCCTGCTACGGCAGCAGGAAAGTCAGAGCACAAAGCAGGAACTCTGCTGTACACAACTTCCTGGGACAAATGCAGTGAGTTCCAACCGCAAGGGGGGCCAGGAGCATGCTCCCTTCCCAGAAGTGCCCTGCTCTCATCTATTCTGTTCTGCAATTAACATGGGAAAGATGCCCATTACCTGCTACCAGATAATGACTATGATTAGGCGTATCTCTGCAGCCAGCCGAGATCTAAATGGTTTTGCGCACTCCAGCAGAATTTGCAGTTACAAAAAAACCAAGAGCAATAAAGTGTAAATAAAAGACTAAAGAAAATAGTGTTGTCCACCACGAAAGAATGCGAGCAGAACCAGCTCTAATGACATTTTATAGCACCATTCGGTGCTAGCGGTCAGAGCCTTGGGAGGGATGAAGCAAAATAACTGGATGCAAACAGACCCAAACCTTCGCCCAAAATTCGAAGCTGAACTTTACTTTGGCAATTCCAAAAATGTGAATAGCCTTCCTCCCCCACCCTCCTTGTTTTTAAAAATCATTTACAAATTTGCACTCCCTGGTTCTGGACAGAAACAGATGAACTGAAATAAAATGAGACGGGCATGTCGTCAGGACAGCCTAACCCAAGTTGTAGGAGTTGCTGTCTCAAGAGAGAGCCAGCTCTCATGGGATCTCCAGCCCACTTTGTAGACGGCATGTGGGTGCAGCAGTGCTCACAGGGCCAGATGAGTCTTTGTGGAACGTTTCTGCATCATTAAATATAGATGTTGGCTGGAAGTCTGAAAGGCGCCAACAGGAGTTAGGTGCCCAGGTCTAACTGAATCCGAGTGTGAACTGGGCACCGACCTCCTTTACTCTGAAAATCCCAGATGATCTTAACAGCACCAGGCCGAGAGGTTGCCGGTCCCTGCAACAGTTGCAGATTCCGTGCCTCTCGCTTCCATTTGGCAAACGCACTTGTTGATGCATCCAGGCTAGAATGGCTCCCCCAATAACAGAGCACTGGCAATTCATCTCCCTTCCTTCCCAGGTCTGCTGTGGCCATTTCAGTGGCTTTTGGAAGCGGGGGGTCAACACAAACAGCAGCCAGAAGCACTGCTGTACCTTCTCCCATGAGGCATCAGCTCAGCTTCTTATTGCCTGCACTGCCAGGTCTGGGTGCCCGGCACGCTCCTTGCTTCATCAGGAAGGACGAGAGCTGGACACTCAGGCTCTTGCGTGTGCTCAAGGCCAGAGCAGTGGTTAGATGGTCTTGTGGGACAAGGTATTTGGAAGCTCGGCACCTTTGAGTCTCAAACTGGTTTTTAGGCCCCGTTGAAGCATCCATCTGAGTAGCCTTTGCCGCCAGAGTCACAGGCCTTGGACCTCAGTTAGCGCATCCTGGGTTCATCTTCAGAACCCCTTTGGCTGCATCATCCATCCCTGGGATGCAGCAGAAATACAGATTCCACCCGGGGTGTGTTGTGGCCAGCTGGGACCTAACAAGCACACCCATTCCGAGCTCGGCCAGGAGCCAGGTTTGAAAATACCCAGCCCCATCCTCACAAACTGTTGTGCCCCCTTTCAGTACATCCAGGACGTGTTGACCCAGCTCAGGGTGTAGGAGCTGCTGGCATTGAAGAGTTCTTTGTGCAGGAAGAGCTGCGGCTTCTGCAGGTCCTTGAAGCTATGGAAGAGCCGAAAGCCTCTGGCCTCTAGCGCCTTCAGCAGGCTGTACCAGTATCGCACCACGGCTGCCTCGCTCCCACTGACCTCAAAGCCGGGCCAATGGAGGTGGATGGTGAGGATCAGCTGGTGCACTACGGCCACGGTGCCATCCACGAGGATACTCTCCAAAATCTTCCACTCGGCACTGGCCAAGTCTGCCTCCAACACGTCGATCTACCCCGGAGAGAAAGAACAGGCAAACTCAGCTCCTCTAGTCAGCACTGCCCAGGGACCGGTGCCGTCACGGGAGGGGACTAGGCCGGGGCTGGCCAAGAGACGTCTGAAAATGAGACATCTGGACACGCCTGGAAGTGGTGAAGAAATAAGCCCTACTGCTCTGAGCCAAGCCCTGCCAACATCCTTGTTTAAGGCTGTTTCTGAGAGCCGAGGAGTCAGCAGGCCCGAAAAAAGGGAGGTGTCCATTGACGTTTGCAGCCTGATCCAAAGTCTATTGAAGTCAATGGAAAAGCTTTGGTCAGCGCCAGTGTGCAGTTATTCTGTTAGCAAGAGCGGAGATGCCCTCCAGCTGGGGACTGGCCGAGGGATGGATTACACCAGAGGGACTCAGCCTGCTTTACATGGCCCTTAAAAGCAAGTTCTACTCGTGGGCACCTCCCATCACAGCCTCCCAACTGGACCCTTCGCTTTCCCGATGGCAGCCAGAAAGCCCAGGAACGCCCAGGGGTAGCAAGAGGATGAGATGGAAGTAAAATCAGCTAAATGTGGCAGGGGTGGGCTTTTTGGTTACATCCCCCTATTTCATCTCTATGCTGTGGATTTCTGCTCTCTGGGATCAGGCTGGGGCATTTATTGGGAACAAAGGCCCAGATCCACAAAGATATTTAGGCTCCTAACTTCCACTGAAATCCACAGAAGCAGCCCTATTGCTCTAGGATGGAATTTTCAAAGGAGCTGGGTTCCCAAACCCCATTAAAATCCAGTGGGAGTTGGGCGCCTGATTCTTAGGCACCTTTGAAAATTCTAGCTCTAACTTCTTCAGGTCACCTTGCACATCAGTTCTGTACTCTCGCATATTCACTGCCCTTCCAGTTTTGGTGTCTTCCTCAGCTTGGTTTGAGGTTGAATTTACACCAAGGAAGACGTGAACTAGCGGCCTGAGATGCAAAGAGGGAACTGGATTTTAGCCATGGAGCACTCTTTGAGACTCACTGGATTAGACAATCCAATAAGGCTTCTCTGTCTTTGATATCTAACGGATGGATGGTGATGTGGGGGATGATGCTATCAAATGCCATTACCTTCTTGTGGCCGAAGTCCTCCATGATCTGATTTAGCCTCTTGGCACGGCTCCTCCGTCTCTGTGAGGAGGTGACTGGGCGTCGCTCGTGCCAGTCCAGCCACAGTGCATGGTGCTGCACCTGTCCTTTCTGCCAGAGGTCGGTCTGCTTGTAGGGGGTCAGGCCAAAACTGTGCACCTGGCACTGCATTTCACTCATTCGCTGGCTGAACTCAAAGCCCCTTTTGACCATGCTACAAACGAAGAAAGGGAGAGAGGCACTTTCAGGCTCTGCAAAGTTAGGCTGACCTGCAGAATATGCAGGTGCAAGGCAAAGCAGGATGGGTAATGTTATGCAAACTGAGGCAAAGGCACCCTGGCTGACTTGGTTCAGCCTTCAGCTGAGGTTCAAAGCAGGCATGTTTTCTTTACCCTTCGTATTGCTTTTCAGATGCAACCTGTCACTGCCCCCACCACTGCCAATAGGGCAGCTAAAGGGACTGCAAGGGGGACATAGCTGAAGAAGCAAAGGGATTCGCTGGAGACATCAGATCTTATGGACATTCTGCAGCTTCAGCCCTGGTCTGCACGTATCGGTGTGAACCCTTTTCCAGAACCGGTTCCCAGCAACAGTACCAGTTTAGCAAACTTAAGTTCTTAGCTGCACCAGTCAGTGCCCACTGCACATACCACCCCCCGGCCTCTGTCCAGTGTTGCACCTTTAACCTGCCTTGGAGTTTTGGCTGCTCTGAGCCCCAAGCATTGGGGCAGACTGGAGAGCAAGAGAAAGGAAAAAGAAGGTTATATCAGAGCACCTGGGCCCAGTTAAGGGAGGGAAGGGCAGCCCAGAGCACCGACTCTCATGACAGGTGGGCACCCTGGCACTGTTCTGGGTGCTGCTGGTGCCGAACCTCTGCTCTAGAGCCCGCAGGCTCAGCGACCTGCTCAAAAGGGATCCCAGCAGGCCTGGAATCTCCGAGCCAGCAGCAGTCACTGGTCAGAGCTGCCCGGGTGCACATGGATCAAGAGCAGCTTCTTCCCCATCTGCACCTGCAACCAGTCCAAGCTGAACAAGCACAAGAATGAAGCCTTGTTAGAGGCCAGGAGTTTCACACAGGCCTTCGGGGCTCGGTGTTGGCTTCAGTCACTGTGGCTAGTCATGACTCAGGCAGCCAGAATGTACCCAAGAGGGGATGGTGTTCACCACAGCAGCTGACTCATGGGCGTGTAACAGACTCGCAGACAGGGAAGTAGACGGCTCCCAGGACTGGTGAGGGAACGTGGTGATATTAACCTCTTGGTGGCCAGTCTCATGTCACTAGCAACTGAAAAGTCACTGTCTGCAGGCCGGGTGATGGCCTGTGTGAAATGGGATGCTGATCCTTCTTGGTGTGTATTGTGGGAGTTGCACATTCCTCTGATGTCTCTGGTTCTGGCCACTACTGGAGATGGGAGGCTGGATTAGGTGACCATCGGTCTGATCTGGCCTGGCAAATTCTAATGGGCAAATTTCCAGCACACAGAAAATCCCCACCACGATCAGCCCTTCTGTTGGCTGTCTGAACCAGGCTGGGGCTGAGCCGGCCAATGAGACCAAATGACTCTCCCACCCCTAGAGAAGAGTCCATCCAGAGCTGGGGTGCACACATTGGTGGGTAGCATGTAGAGCGGGAGCTGGCCCAGCTGCCAGCTCTGCTGCCCCTGTTCTGTGACGCCAGGGACCTGTGCTGGCAGGGGCTCATAAAACTATTGCTTTTAACCAGCACTTCAGTCTAGAAAATAGACCCGAAGACGGACGGTTTGCTCAGGAGGCCTCTGTCCCGAGGGGCCCAGGATTTATACCTGATGGAAGGCCATGGGGTCACAGAGCAGAACTGGTTGGAAAAAGGAGCCCCCAAAACCCGAGAACCCCCATTCTGAACATTTCTTACTGTTTTTTTCAGAACTTGGATGAGATTTTTCAAACACTGAAAAGTGTCGGTTGGAAAAACCGGAGAGTTTTGTTTGGATGCAATTTGAATTTTCCACGAAAAATGTTACTGAAAAAGTCAAAATCCAAAAAACAGTGACCAGCCCTCCTGTCAAGTAAGTATCAGTCCCGACCACCCAAATCCATCCTTCCTCAGCCGCCCTCCCTGCCTCGGTCCCTCCGCAGTTGGGGTGCCCGCCCACGGGAGCCCCGTGCTCACCTGAAGGTATAAACCAGGCACCTCTCCTGCTGCAGCTTCAGCGACCCAGTGGGCATGTGATCTAGGCACACTCGCCACGCCCCGGCAGTGCTGGCTGTGAAAGCCTGGAGACCAGCCTGGCTCAGAGCTCGGGAGCAGGGCAGCTGAAGGAGAAGGGAGAACAAAACCGGCCCTTTAGCTGGGCTGTGGATTGGGTTCATAACCAGGGGCTTGCGAGGTGCTTGGCCCTTGGAAGCTCTGTTTTCATCACGCTTCAGCAGCCATCCCCTGCCTGAGCCCAGTGGCGGCCAGTTCTCATCAGCCGTACACAGAGGCAGTTCTCCTCCCCCACCATACCTGCTCTTCGTGTCTATGCCAACAAGCCAGCACCATCCCTCTCCAGGAGAGCTCACTTCAGCTCAGGATCCTCCAGCCCAGGTGCACCAATGCCCCGAACCCTAATGGCCCCATAGGAATGACCCCTTTCCCCCTGCCCTGGGCCTCCTTCCTAGCCTACCTCTGTACTATCTAGAGACCTCCCCATGCCATCATGGCCCTCAAGGGATGGGACTCTGCAGGGCTGCCTCGTCTCCCCCATAGGCCCCAGGGAGCTTTCTACAGCACTGGTCGGGGATTGGGATTTTATCTCCCCCACCCCACAGATGCTGCCCGTCTGCAAGCCACCGGGCCACTCCTCTCTGATATGTGAGAGGCGGGTGCCAGAAATGAGGGCAGAAGAGGAGAGAGCGGAGCAGTCACCGGAGGGTGGGGGGGAGGGGGAGTAATCGGGGGAGAGGCAGAACCCCAAATGCAGGTCACTGCTTCTCCAGGCTAGAGTCTTATCCAGCTGGAATCCAGGCTCTTTCCCAGGTGGAGTGCCTGCCGGAGCTTTTATTCCCGCCTCTGGGCCATGTTGTGTAACCAGGGGCTGGCGTGGTGAGTGACCTACCTGGGGGGTGCTGATGTACGTAAGGAACCGCTCGGCTTCGCTTCGGAGGGACTGGCTACTCCCAGCCCAGGGCTGCAGGGCCACCTCCTGATGGGTTTTCTAAGGTCACGGAAATAAAACGCACAGTGAGTCAAGGGCTGGGAGCGCTGGGGCATGCTGGGAAACGAACCAGCCTCGGCTCCTGAGTGTCTAAAAGGATTCTGACCTGGCGGAGGAACCGGCCAAGGCACTGAAGGGTTTAATAACCCAGAAACGCTGGCTCCGCACGGCAGCACCCCAGGGGACTGGGCTTTTATCGGCTACGCGGGGCTGGGCAGCATTTGGATGGGAAACTTCTAAGGACAGCCAGGGTGCTGCAGGGAGACTTGTAAGTGACGCAGTGCTCCTCTCCTCTGAGTCTCTGCTGACCCCACTGCGCAGCGCAGTCCTAAGGGGCAGGGAGCAATGGGTAGGTAAAGCCATTAGGGGGCGCTCTCCCCTTTGCGTCAGACTGGCCCCAGTGGCCCAGCACAATGCTAGGGGGCGCCGTGCTGCAGGGAGCAATGGGTAGGTAAGCCATTAGGGGGCGCTCTCCCCTTTGCGTCAGACTGGCCCCAGTGGCCCAGCACAATGCTAGGGGGCGCCGTGCTGCAGGGAGCAATGGGTAGGTAAGCCATTAGGGGGCGCTCTCCCCTTTGAGTCAGACTGGCCCCAGTGGCCCAGCACAATGCTAGGGGGTGCTGCGGGAGCAATGGGAAGGTAAGCCATTAGGGGGCGCTCTCCCCTTTGAGTCAGACTGGCCCCAGTGGCCCAGCACAATGCTAAGGGGCAGGGAACAATGGGTAGGTAAGCCATTAGGGGGCGCTCTCCCCTTTGAGTCAGACTGGCTCCAGTGACCCAGCGCAGTGCTAGGGGGCAGGGAGCAATGGGTAGGTAAGCCATTAGGGGGCGCTCTCTCCTCTGAGTCAGGCCTGAACCCAATGGCCCAGCGCTGTGCTGCTGGAATGGAAATTTCTTTTGACTGAGGTGTGAAGCTGAGGCCCTGATCGATCGTTCATAGCCACTATAAGCTCTTCCGACACATTTCACAAAGCAGGGGCGCTAAGCCCAGTGTCCTGGCCATATTCCAACTCAGGTAATTGTGCTCTGCCTGCCTACAATTCTCCCTGCAGTTTCAGCTGTGGGGTTAACACACACACCACCACCATCACTAGCCGACCCACACTAGAGAAGAGGAGTGTCATGAAGCATTGCTGCAGCTGACCAGGGTCCCCCACTGTGTGGGTGAGCTCCTGTCGGATTTGCCTCCCCAGAGCTGCTGTGGCAAAATGATGGGGCTGTAGGGCTGACCAGCTAACGCAGGAGACTTTGCATTTCTAGTGCCTCTCATCTGAGGGGTGCCACGTTCTTTACAAATACTGCTTAACCATGTCTCACAACCCGCTCCCCCATCACGCCCCCCCCCCACCCCCACCCCAGCAGCATTACCCCCATTTTCCAAGTGGAGAAACTGAGGCACAGAGAGGGTGAGTAACTTGCCCAAGGCTATGTTGCAAGTCGGTGGCAGATCCCAGCATAGACCCCAGTAGTCCCAGCTCATAACCCTGTGTTCTGACTCCTAGGGAATGCTGTCTCCTGCACGAGACACTCCACGGACAGTTCCCAGTACTGTGCTCCAGGAGAAGGAAACAGAAGCTCTCTCCCTTCCAGCATGGGTGGAGAAGGGGCAACGTGGGAGACAAAGGCCCCTTTGCACAGGCAGGAGGCTTTGAGTACAAAGGGAAAGTCAGCTACTGCAGGAGAAGGGCTCTGTATCTGCTCTGCCTTATCAGTGAGATCAGCAATAGGCCTGCAAACAGCCCAGAGCCTCCTGCTGCTGCTCCTGGACTGGCAGGTCGTTAATTATGGCCAGAGCCAGCCTGAAGCATAAGCAAACTAATGACCACCTGGGGCCCCACATCCCAGGCAAGCTCCATCCAGCTCACAGGTTGGCTCAGTCTCCCTCTGCACAGGTAGGGTCAGCAGAGCCAGCTCCCTGCCGGCCCCCGTTCCGGCAGCAGGATCAGAGCACGGGATGGGGGGGAGGGGGGAAGTGGCGGAACCTCGGCAGGTCAGGGCTTTATAAAACGAAAAGCTGGTCTTCATGCCAACCGCCTCCCTGTCCCGCCTCCCACGGGGGCCGGCGTCCTCCCCACACTCAGAGCCCACCGCTGGGTTTTCATTGCCTGCTCCCTATGCAGCTACACAACACCAGAGCTGGACAGCCAGGCCTCCCAGGGCTTGAACAGGTACCTTGAAATCCAGGGCGAGCCAAACCCCTCCTGCACTGCGGCCCACTGTCATGAGGCACAGGGGACACTGGACCAGCACATATGTGTCCTAGCTAAACCTTTCCCCCAGCCTAGCCCATGGTCCTCCCTCCCGGAGCTGCCAAGTTCTTGGCTTCATCACCCACATGTTCCCCAATGTTCAGGGGTGGTACCAATCTGCAGACCCTACCCGCATCCGTCTTGGGGGCATGGCGAGGGAGGTGGGAACTGGGGAGGTGTGGAATGAATGGAGAGGCATGGGGGAGTGGTGGTGAGGGGCTGGTGATGGTAAGGAGGTGTGAGGTGGGAGTGGCAAGGTGTGGGGGGCAGCGGGTGGGGTACTGGTGGGAAGGGGCTGGAAGAGAGACGTGGGTATTGGTGGGGGTGGTGGAGGAGAGGTGGAATGCTCAGGGGTAAGAGAGTGGAGAGGTGAGGGGCACTGGTGGGGCTGATGGGGGAGGTAGCGGAGGTGGGGTGGGGGCACTGCTGGGGGGCTGATCAGGGGCAGGAGCAGAGGAGAGGTGGGGGGTGGGGGCACTGCTGGGGGCTGATGGGGGGGAGCAGAGGAGAGGTGCGGGGTGGGGGCATTGCTGGGGGCTGATGGGGGGGAGCAGAGGAGAGGTGGGGGGTGGGGGCACTGCTGGGGGCTGATCGGGGCAGGAGCAGAGGAGAGGTGGGGGCACTGCTGGGGGTTGAAGGGGGGGAGCAGAGGAGAGGTGGGGGGTGGGGGCACTGCTGGGGGCTGATGGGGGGGAGCAGAGGAGAGGTGGGGGGTGGGGACACTGCTGGGGGCTGATCGGGGCAGGAGCAGAGGAGAGGTGGGGGGTGGGGGCACGCTGGGGGCTGATGGGGGGAGCAGAGGAGAGGTGGGGGGTGGGGACACTGCTGGGGGCTGATCGGGCAGGAGCAGAGGAGAGGGGGGGGTGGGGGCCACTGGGGGCTGATGGGGGGAGCAGAGGAGAGGTGGGGGGTGGGGGCACTGCTGGGGGCTGATGGGGGGGGAGCAAGGAGAGGTGGGGGGGACACTGCTGGGGGCTGATGTGGGGGGGAGCAGCAGCAGCGATCTGGCCTGGAACTGCAGCTCCTTCAGGACTCAGCTGAAGTGGGCGAGCTCCCTGCGTCCCATGCGGTTCGCAGGCATGAGGGGCAGGATGGGACAGGGGAGGGGGCCGTGGGTGCTAATATCTCCTCTTAATTATCCTAGACACAAAGGGGCTGGGCCCAGCCAAGATCAGCCGCGTGGGGGATGGAAGAGCAGGAGATGCGAGGGCGAGTGGGGACCCAGCACGCCGCTGGAACCTCTCCCTCCCAGCCAGAAGGAGGGCGCTGGAGGCTGGACAGCCCCCGCTGCCTGCTGGAGCCGGCCCAGGCTGCCAAATGAACTGGGGGGGGGCAGGAGGGGCGCGAGGCTAATCTCCACGCTGATTCGGCTGAATTCCCAGTGATGGAGGTTTCTTCTTTTTTCTCCCCCCTCCGCGATAACAAATAATAATATAATCCCCTTAATCCCTTCCCCTCGGAGCCTGCATTCCGCACAGAGGCAGGAAGAGCAGAGCTTCTCCCACCTCTGATAACTCAGACAATCCGGGCCCCTGGAAAATGAACGAATGCCTTGGGTTACATTGTGCCCCCCAGCTGAAGAGCTTTGCCCTCCCCTCTCGGAGGATTCACCGCGGCCAACCTCTCCCCACTCACCCCGCAGCCCCTCCGTCACCCCCGCATTCTTCCGGTTGTTCGGGGCCCCCTTCTACCTCGGGCTAGGCCCTGCCCAGGCTGCCTGGAATCAGAGCCGGGGGTGATATTTACCAGCTCTGGGACTGGGCCCTGACTGCCCATTGACATGTCTCTTTCGCCTACCCGCTCCCAGATGTCACCGGCTTCTGCCGGCGAGGCAGGCTGCGTGGCATTCGGGCAGCAAAGCGTTCAGCGGGAGTGACAGCCGAGAGCCTGGCAGGGCGGCAGCCACCTCTCAGCAACACAAGCAGAACCTCCACTGCAGTGGCCAAGGCCCCCCTACTACACACAACCAGCTGCCGAGCTGGGAAAAGAAGCCACAAGCCCTGATTCAAAGCCCCCTTTGGGTCCCGTCCACCCCAGAACCAAGAAGAACCGGATACCCAGTCCCTGCTCTCCTCACTCGATCATACTCCCTCCCAGAGCCAGGACCAAAGCTCAGGAACCCTGACTCCCACCAGTCCCCCTACTTGAATCTCTAAATCACACTCCCGCCTAAAGCCAGGAATAGAACCCAGGTGTCCTGACTTCTTCCATCCCTCCCTCCCTATCCGTTCTGGTGCCTGGATTTTGTTTTAGACAGTTGTTGTGTACGTACATACATGAGCACACACACAGCAAGTAAATACCACCCCTACCCCCTACATAAATCAACCTTCGCTTTTATTCTCTAGCTCTCCTTTCCCCGTGCTTTGCTGATCTCAGCTCCTCCGGCCTCCAAAACAGCTTTCAAAATTACTGGAGAGTGGAGACCTTTGAAAGCTGCCCCCAGCTGTGTCGGCTTTTGGTTTCCCTCCCCCGCAGGCTCAAAACACGACAGCGAGGGCCACGTTTCTGAAGCCCCACACAAAGGATGAGTAGTGTGCCAAAGACAACCCGCCCTTCCCTCCACCACCACCTTAGCGCACACGCTCACTTGCTCTTGCAAACCAGATGCCCAGGGTGCACACACAGACAGAGGAGGCATGCATGTTTTGCACAGCACTCTTGCTAGGCAGGGCTTTGTAAATTCAGCCCCCATTAGTTCAAAAGGCACCAGGCTGTGATTGCTTAATATACAGTCAAAGTCGGAGCAGGAAGGGGCTTACATGGCTCAGGGGAACAGTGACAGGCGACCAAAGTTGCTGGTTCAATTCCAACCAAGGGCAGTAGTGAGTGAACGTCACCGTCCTCTTGGCTGGTACGTGAAATGAGTTTGCTGGGCCTCAGTCCAGTTTCTACCAGGGAAGCATGTACCTCCTAACCCCCTCCCCCCACATCAGAGCTGGGAGGGCTGGCTGCCAGCCTCCCGTCCTGAGGCCAAGGGTTAAAGGGGCCCTAGAAAAGTGCTCTCTGGCTCCTGGGTGTGGCACTCCTGCGTGAGTGAGAAGCGTGTGCTGCTGGGGAAGGGTGACCCTCCCTGGGAAAAGCAGGGGAGGTTTGGCGTTGCCGCTGCAGGGAGAAGTCTCACCTGTGCAACGTGGGAAGGGAGCTGTGCACGGCACAAGGTTTGGAAGAACCGGATGCTGTTCCCATTTAATTGACAGAGGTGCATGCACCCCATGTGCGCCTGGCCCCGTGCCTGTCAGTCAGAAGGCTCAGGAGAGGTCACGGCATCGCGCCATCTCTCAGAAACTCCCTCCCAGACACCAGGATGCTTCCTCCTCTCTGAAAATCTCGCCGGAAAGCCATTCTGGCCAGGAGATTTAAAAACAAACAAAGGGAAAGGCTTCCGCTAGCAACACACACTCAGCCCACAGGAAACGTTGCCACAGGGGGTGACAGAGTCAAAGTCTTCGGGGGGGGGGGTGCACAAGGAGGACAGCTTTATGGCTAGTAACAGGGGCCGGATGGTGTCACGGCTACAAGCAGAGGTCTGGCTGTCAGGAGATTCAGTCTATGCCCAGCTCTGCTACTGACAAGCTGGACAAGGCATTTCCCACCCCCATGCCTCAGTTTCCCCATCCATAAAACAGGAATAGGAGTTCTCCAGGCTGTGAGGGGAATTATTGGCACAGGGCATTTTGATCCGCAGCTGGAAAGCTCTGGAGAAAGGGCAGATCCTGAAGTCCGTCGCTAACTCCCTATCTGACCTCACTCAGGCAACACTCCCAGTGAAATCAGTGAGAAGTTGCCTGCCCAAGGGAAATCTCGAAACCTTTCAGGCCACATCTGCTGTTGAATCAAGGTGCCAGATCTGGCGGATCACAGGTCTGATCTGGCACAACACTTTCCTTTTCTCTTCAGCTTGTGATTAACATGCCAGGTGACTAAAGTTAACAAGTATAAAAGATGCTAGGTAGGAGTAATGGCTGTGATTTCCAAAACCAGTAATTTTAATGAGAATCGGGTGGCCAGATTGCCGAGGCAGCTTTGAAAATCTCAGCCAGCATCTATTGGGATTACATATAATAACTGGCTACCATGTTTGTACCTCACTGCCCTCTTCTGACTGAAATTAGAAACACACAACAGTGTCATAGACTCTATACTGGTAACAACTAATGAAGATTCTCCTTTGGAACCAGTCATAGTGGGCTTTCATAGAATCATAGACTATCAGGGTTGGAAGGGACCTCAGGAGGTCATCTAGTCCAACCCCCTGCTCAAAGCAGGACCAATCCCCAACTAAATCATCCCAGCCAGGGCTTTGTCAAGCCTGATCTTAAAAACTTCTAAGGAAGGAGATTCCACCACCTCCCTAGTAACGCATTCCAGTGTTTCACCACCCTCCTAGTGAAAATTTTTTTCCTAATATCCAACCTAAACCTCCCCCACTGCAACTTGAGACCATTACTCCTTGTTCTGTCATCAGCTACCACTGAGAACAGTCTAGATCCATCCTCTTTGGAACCCCCTTTCAGGTAGTTGAAAGCAGCTTTCAAATCCCCCCTCATTCTTCTCTTCCGCAGACTAAATCCCAGTTCCCTCAGCCTCTCCTCATGAGTCATGTGTTCCAGTTCCCTAATCATTTTTGTTGCCCTCCGCTGGACTCTTTCCAATTTTTCCACCTCCTTCTTGCAGTGTGGGGCCCAAAACTGGACACAGTACTCCAGATGAGGCCTCACCAGTGCCGAATAGAGGGGCAGGAGGAGTTGAGCTCTATCCCCACTGCCACTGCAGAGTACTGAGTTGCCCAGGTGTGGCTCAGAGCCAGCTGCAAAGTCCTACGTGACTGTGGATTTGTGTGTATATCACACACTCCCCTGTACCCAGGGTGTGCAAAGTCTCCGAACAGCATGTTCAGACAGGTTGTAACACCTGGGCATAGCCGTGTGTCTTAGCACACAGCAGCCTCCATGCTAAATTCCTTCCCTGATGCTGAAGTCGGAGCGCGAATGCAGTTTAATGCTGTTTTATGTTTAATCTCTCTCGTGTTGTTTAACAGTAATCTTCAATAAAAGCCTTCAACTGGCATCACATCTAGTGCCGGGGCTGTGGGGTGAGGCAGTCACTTCACCAGCGGAAACCCATCCATCCCCTCTCTGCCGCTGTTGATACGGTACCAGTCTGAACCCGTGGATAGTTAGCCTGAAGCTCTCCGCCTGCACTGGTACACACACGGCGGGTGGTTTTAGATGTCTGGATGACGCAGACGAGAACAGTCAGATGGAGAGGCTGCAAAACCCACACCAAAAGCCTCCTCCCAACCTGCAGCAACGTCCCTGTCCACCCCTCTCCTCCCACCGGGTCCCCTGCCACCGGTGGCCGTGGATGTGGGTATACCTGCCACGACTAGCCCTTTTAACGGGGGCCCCATGTGTAACAAGACTGGCTGCCCAGGGGCCCTTAATAGGGGACTGATTGATCTAGACTGTGTCTGCGTGTGTGTAATAACCGTGCTTCCTCACTCTCTTCAACAGGGGATTGTGACAGCACATGCCTGTCCTGTGTGCAACAGCCCTGGCTGGGTCTCCGGGAGAGGGTTCCTGGATGTGAGTAACAGAGCTGCAATGCGTGACTGTGAGATCGCACGGGTGTGGACATGCATGCAGGTCGGTGCATGGACCAGAGGGAAGGGGGATGCGTCAGGACTGCTGTCTTGCTTCAATTCTGCCCTCCCTGCAGTGATCCCATGAATTTCCACCCGAATGAACCCCCGGGAACTCTTCAGAGCCCTTCTCTCCTTGTAGGCAATTTGTGGGCGTCTGTAACTTTTCTCAGCCTTCCATGCTGCAAATGGATGGGGCTGCTCACTCGAGGGTGGAGGGGATGGGATTCCTGGAGAAGTGGCAGGGCAGGGTGAGGGGAGGCAAATTCCTTCTTTGTTCCCAAGGGAATAGAAAAGTTAGAAAACCTGCAGTCCCCCCTCTGGCTCTACTCACCCCGCAGCCAGAATCCCTGCAGCAAACCTGACAAGCCTCATTATAAAGAAACTCTGCCCGTTACAATAGGAAGCAAAGCTCCTAATCTCAGCAGACAGAGGCGTCGCAACAAACCAGGACAATTCACAGACACCCCTCAAGAAGGCAACTAAAACAGCACGGAACACGTCTCTCTACCCTGGAGGTTCGCTCCTGCCTGCTGCAATGCCAGCCAAGATTTCAGCACATGGGCAAGGCTCCACCCTGGCCCCCATCCAGCAAACCTTACTGAACCGAGTAGCACTTTTACGCAAGGAGGCTCAGGGCGAGCATGCAAACCCATCTTTGCACGAGAACGGGGCTGCAGAATCAGGCCCCATGTTAATGCAATTCCAAACCCACCTCCTGAATAGAAAAAAAGCCATAATACAGAGGGGCAGGGACCCCCAGGGAGATGCCAGTAGAAGAAGTAGATCACTGGCCTATGGAATCCAGGCTGGGCTGGTTAATCTCACGGCTGCTCATTAACCAGGAGCACAAGCTGCCAGCCCATAGGGTCACTGCAGCAGTGCCCAGCCCTGGACTAACCTCCACCCTGGGGCTGGCCGTTCATCGCCCTCTGCCTCCTTTTGGCTTGGGCCCTTCCAGACATTAAATGCACCCACTTCCCCGGGTTCCTTACGTGCCCCTTCGGCCTGAGTCTCGCTCTGAATCCCGTTCCTCAGAAGCAGCAAGCAAAGGGAGAGAAGAGAAGGAGATTTAGTGGGGGCAAGCGCAACCCCCACCTCCACCCCAAAACCAGACCGTCTTTCTCCCTCTCCCTCCCCCACCTGCTCAGGGGGGTCCAGTGCGGAGTGCGCAGGGGCGGGGAAGGGAGTCAGGACAAGGAGGAGGAAGGCTCTTTGAGAGCCAGGGAAGGAAGGGGGAGCAGGAAAGAGAAGCCAGAGAGGGAGGCAGAGGGGAGGGAAGCCAGGGGGTGGCTAGTCTGGAGTTCAGCGCTTGGGGAGGGAGCCGGGCGCCCCGGAGAGGGGCTGCGGGGCAGAGCGCAGGAGAAGCGGGGCAGGGGGCTCCGGTTCCTTACGGGCGGGCCGAGGTTCTCGTTCTCATCCTGGTAGCGCTGCAGGGAGCCCGGGCTGCGCCCGCCTGGCCCCCCGGCCGGGGCTGCCGTCCCCTCGTGGCGGGGGGCGGCGCTGCCCGGGGCGGGCCCCCCGCGGATGGTGATGATGGTGAAGGGCCCCGGCGCGTCCCCCGGGCGGCCGGAGCGCAGCAGGATCTGCCCCAGGCTCAGCACCCCGCAGCCGAGCAGCAGCAGCCGCAGCGCCGAGCCGCCTCCCATGGCTCCCGCCGGCTCCTCCACCTGCAGCCCCGGCCGGGACCGGCCCCGGAGGAGGGGCGGCCGGGGAGGGGCCGCGCAGCCCCCGCTCCCCGCCCGGCGGCTGCATTCCTGGGCTCGGGCTCCCAGGCCCCGCCGCGACCCTCCCTCCCGCGGCGAGCTCGGGGCCAGGCGCTCAGTGGGGCCGCTGGACCCGGACGGAGGCTGCTCGGACTCTGCCCAAACTTTCCCCTGCCCGCCGCGCTGGGCCCAAGCCCACCCCTGCCCCCTGCCCTGTCCGTGCCAGGTGCCCAAACCCACCCCCCCCTCCCTGCCCCCTGCCCTGTCCGTGCCAGGTGCCCAAACCCTCCCCTGCCCTGACCGTGCCATGTGCCCAAACCCACCCCTGCCCCCTGCCCTGACCGTGCCAGGTGCCCAAACCCTCCTCCGCCCCCTGCCCTGTCCGTGCCATGTGCCCAAACCCTCCCCTGCCCCCTGCCCTGACCGTGCCAGGTGCCCAAACCCACCCCTGCCCCCTGCCCTGACCGTGCCAGGTGCCCAAACCCTCCTCCGCCCCCTGCCCTGTCCGTGCCATGTGCCCAAACCCTCCCCTGCCCCCTGCCCTGACCGTGCCAGGTGCCCAAACCCACCCCTGCCCCCTGCCCTGACCGTGCCAGGTGCCCAAACCCTCCTCCGCCCCCTGCCCTGTCCGTGCCATGTGCCCAAACCCTCCCTTGCCCCCTGCCCTGTCCGTGCCAGGTGCCCAAACCCACCCCTGCCCCCTGCCCTGTCCGTGCCAGGTGCCCAAACCCACCCCTGCCCCCTGCCCTGTCCGTGCCATGTGCCCAAACCCTCCCCTGCCCTGACCGTGCCATGTGCCCAAACCCCCCCCTGCCCTGACCGTGCCATGTGCCCAAACCCACCCCTGCCCTGTCCGTGCCATGTGCCCAAACCCTCCCCTGCCCTGACAGTGCCATGTGCCCAAACCCACCCCTGCCCCCTGCCCTGACCGTGCCAGGTGCCCAAACCCTCCTCCTGCCCCCTGCCCTGTCCGTGCCATGTGCCCAAACCCACCCCTGCCCCCTGCCCTGACCGTGCCAGGTGCCCAAACCCACCCCTGCCCCCTGCCCTGTCCGTGCCCTGACCGTGCCAGGTGCCCAAACCCACCCCTGCCTCCTGCCCTGACCGTGCCATGTGCCCAAACCCACCCCTGCCCCCTGCCCTGACCGTGCCAGGTGCCCAAACCCTCCTCCGCCCCCTGCCCTGTCCGTGCCATGTGCCCAAACCCTCCCCTGCCCCCTGCCCTGACCGTGCCAGGTGCCCAAACCCACCCCTGCCCCCTGCCCTGACCGTGCCAGGTGCCCAAACCCTCCTCCGCCCCCTGCCCTGTCCGTGCCATGTGCCCAAACCCTCCCCTGCCCCCTGCCCTGACCGTGCCAGGTGCCCAAACCCACCCCTGCCCCCTGCCCTGACCGTGCCAGGTGCCCAAACCCTCCCTTGCCCCCTGCCCTGACCGTGCCAGGTGCCCAAACCCACCCCTGCCCCCTGCCCTGTCCGTGCCAGGTGCCCAAACCCTCCCCTGCCCCCTGCCCTGTCCGTGCCATGTGCCCAAACCCTCCTCTGCCCCCTGCCCTGTCCGTGCCATGTGCCCAAACCCTCCTCTGCCCCCTGCCCTGACCGTGCCAGGTGCCCAAACCCACCCCTGCCTCCTGCCCTGTCCGTGCCATGTGCCCAAACCCTCCCCTGCCCCCTGCCCTCTCCGTGCCATGTGCCCAAACCCTCCCCTGCCCCCTGCCTTCTCCATGCCATGTGCCCAAATCCACCCTGCCCTGTCCGTGCCACGTGCCCAAACCCAACCCTCCCCCGTGCCCTGTCCGTGCCAGGTGCCCAAACCCACCCCGGCCCTGTCCGTGTTACATGCCCAAACCTGCCCCTGCAACCCTGCCCTGTCCTTGCCAAGTGCCCAAACCCGCCCCTGCCCTGTCCGTGCCACGTGTCCAAAACCCCCCCTGCCACCCCTGCCCCCTGCCCTGTCTGTGCCAGGTGCCCAAACCCGCCCTACCCCCTGCCCTGTCCATGCCACGTGTCCAAAACCCCCCTGCCCCTGCCTTTTCCGTGCCACATGCCAAACCCTCCCCTGCCCCCTGCTCTGTCCGTGCCATGTGCCCAAACCCACCCATGCCCCCTGCCCTGTCCATGCCACGTGCCCAAACCCTCCCCTGCCCCATGACCTGTCCGTGCCACATGCCCAAACCCACCCATGCCCCCTGACCTGTCTGTGCCACGTGCCCAAACCCACCCATGCCCCCTGCCCTGTCCGTGCCATGTGTCCAAACCTTCCCCTGCCCTGTCCATGCCATGTGCCCAAACCCACCCATGCCCTGCGTGTCTGTGCCATGCCAGTGCCCAAACCCTCCCATACCCTGCCATATCCGTGCCTTGTGCCCAAACCCTCCCATGCCCTGTGTATCCATGCCATACCCGTGCCATGTGCATGTCCATTCTGCGCCCATGTATGTGCCCAAACCCACACCAGGCCCTGCTGTGTCTATGCCGTGCCACGTGCCCAAACCCAACCCAGACATGGGTGTACCCAGCTCCATGCTGTCCCACATCCATGCTAGACGGTGCCCAGACAAAGCCAGGATGGTCCATGCCATAATTTCATCGCCCAATAGTCTATATTGCTCACACCATGCATACCCGCTATTGTCCCCATCCATGTCTATCCAGACCTTACTGGGCTCTGGACCTAGGCAATGCTGCCAACGTGGCAGCTGCAGGAGGCCCTGGGCTCATGGGGCTCCCACCCCGGCAGGGACACATGGAAATGCTGCTGGTGGCCTGTTTACTGCTGCACAGGGTGGTGTCTGGGTTATTGGGTGCCCCCCCACCGGTGCCGCCCCCCCACCCCGACTGGATCTGTGCGTGTTCTCTCCTACTCCCGTGGGGATGAGCCTCTCCCACAAGGGGCAGGGCGAGGCAGTGTGGCCCAGGTGGGGTTGTACACTAAACTTTAGGTCTTGCAGCAACGGGGTGGCACTTGTATGGATTTGCCAAGGACCCACATTTCCCAGGGCAGCTCTGTGTAAGCAGCCTATGCCAGGGACAATGCATTGCCATGCCTAGCCCCGGTAACGGCCAATTAGCTGGCTATGCCTCACCCGAGCCATATGCTGAAGGGCCTGGACCATGCGGTACAATGCTCACCCTCTATATAGCTCAGACTGTTAGCGAAAGTAGATGGATTTCTGATGGGTCCATCACCATGGTATCTGAGCACCGCACTGCGTCTGCACCAGGCCTTCCCAAAGCCCTGGCCATGCTTTGGAGAAGTCTGCCACCTCCCACAGATCCTGCTGAGAGCAGAGCTAACCTGAAAAGAAGCCACAGGCTCCTTTGCCCTACATGGTCCCTTGCCTTATGGAGAGGCGGTGCGGTCTGATCGACAGACCTCTGCACTGGGAGTCAAGAGACCTGGTGTCACGACGGGACATGGGCAGTCTGACCTAGTGGTCATAGCAGGAGTCAGGCCAGGTCAGATACCAGGAGGTCCAGAGGCCAAGCCAGGCCAGAGGGCAAACTGAGAATCGAGTGTCAGGAAGGATCAGGTTACCAGGAGATCAGAAGCAGGAGAAAAACTCAAGAGCAGAACCTCAGATTGATAACCAGCTTCAGGCCAGGACGCCAGGAAGTCAAGCCAGAGAACCAGGAGCCACAAGGGGGACACAGTCCAAGGCAAAGTGAATCGCACTTCCATAGACAGCTTCCTGTTCCGGTGCTGGGTTTAAATAGGGGCTGTGGACCAATCAGGGCCCTCAGCATTTTGCCAGTCAGCTCCCAGGACTGGGGCTCCGCTGCCTGAGTTCAGCTCCTTATTCTGAAAGCACTTGGCACATCTCAGGATAGGAGGCTGGAGCCTATCGCAGAGCAGTGTTCGAGACCCACAGTCCCCAGCTTCAAATGTCCACTCCGCTGTTTGACTTCAGACAAGTCACTTGCCCTTTGTCTGTTTATAGATTGTAAGCTTTTGGGGGCCAGGAGTGACTGTTACCATGAACAGCACCTAGGACAACGGGGCCCAATCTTGATTTGGGCCTCTAAGCTACCGGAGATATCACCTCTCCCCCCTTGTGCTGTCGTAATGGCGGAAGCACATTCTGCTGCCAGGCAGTAGGTTTGTAGGGCTGGGGGCAGACATGTTTTAAAGCAGTCAACATAACACCAGTTTGAATCCGGAATCACTTCTGATCATAGAGATCTATATTCTATTTTGAAACTATGTAAATCATGGGTTTCAGAGGAGCAGCCGTGTTCGTCTGTATCGGCAAAAAGAACAGGAGGACTTGTGGCACCTCACAGACGAACAAATTTATTTGAGCATAAGCTTTCGTGGGCTACAGCTCACTTCATCGGATGCGTTCAGCTGTAGCTCACGAAAGCTTATGCTCAAACAAATTGGTTCGTCTCTAAGGTGCCACAAGTCCTCCTGCTCTTTTTATGTAAATCATGTTTGATAGATATATGCTATTACAATTAATTTATCAACTAAATGTGACTATTTCAGCACCAAAAACGAAAAAAAATCTAAAGTCATTTTCAAGTAGCCTCGGCTGGCAAAACTTTGTAATCAACGCCACACATCTAGGAGCTGTGCTGATAGGAGAGGCAGGATTACGCTGATAAAAAACATAACGATCAAACCAATCGGCAAAGCTTTGTCTCAGCCACGTGACTAGCGCTTGCTGGTTTTAACTGAGTCTTAAAAATCAAGACAATCAGATCAGGCGTTTGAAAACGCTGACCGTTTAAAGGTGGGGACATTCTGCTGTGCAGCTGGCCCTTTTAAAATGCTCGTGGCTTTCAAAGGACACTAGCAAGCATCTTCAAACTTGGCTCAAGTTTCAGCTCTCAGTGAGATCTACACAGCAAGCTGACATTGCAGTGCCTAGCATCAGTCTCTCGCTCACGGTACCTGAATGAAAATGATTCACTGGCGCATAGGAAGGATTCCCCCCCCCCCATACACTAGTGACTAAGGTAAATCTGAATGAATTTGTCTGCAACTTTGCAAAAATAACAAAGAAGAATAACCTTGGGGCTGAGACCAAGCATAAAGAATGCTTCTCTTCAGAAAATTAAGAGTGACTGAAAAGAGCGATTTGAATGGAAATTAGAACTTAACCATAACACCTACAGTGTAGCACTTTATAATGAGGGCAGAAAGGGTAACGGGACACCTGAGCCCTCAGGGAGACAGAAAATCAGGGTGGTCTTTGTAAACAAGTTCACAATTAGACACCAGGGCCCAAGTCACCATAGCTCTGCCCCTTGTGCAGTCATTTACATCAGTGCAAGGTGAGTGTGACAATGCTACCAGTTCAGAAGGCTGTAGCGTTTTGCACCCTTTTTACACTAGTGCACAAGGTGCAGGGCAATGATGCAATGGGGGACCACAAGCAATACAGCCTGATTCAGGTGAATAAACAGGGAGCCGTGGAGTGGAGCGGCCTGAGCATAGGGTTGGGAGCCAGGAATGCCTGAGTTCTAATCCTGACACTGACTCACTGTGCAGCCTTGGGCAAGTTCCTGCCACTCCCCTGTGCCTCAGTTTCCCCATTAGTAAGATGGGGCTTTAATGACACTTTGCCACCTCTCGAGGGGGAGGAGGAGTTGGTTAACATTCACTATGCACCTTGAAGGACAAAACCATTCACTACGTGGTGCTAAGTGCTTGCAGCGAGAGCCCCAGTCTGACTCTAATGACTAGTCATGCCTCTCGTTCCAAGGCCCTGCGCACACTGGCTGTGCCTGTCCCCCAGCCCCAGTCACTCCACTGACCTCAGCAGGGGCTGAGGGCCCCCGGCCCCTTTCAGGAGGTGGTCGGCATCAAGGCAGGGGCTGGGCAGTGCACTGTTAGCCTCACTCCTGCCAAGCTCTGTACCACGGGGGCGGGGAGGGGAGCCTGCCCCCTTCCTCTCTGCACTCGCTCTCTTTTGTCTCTGCAAGTGGCTCTGGAGTAGGGGGGGAGGCCAGGGCCTTGCTCTAGCTCCACGTGAAGGCGAAGCCTTGGTGCTGTGTAAACACCAGCTGTATTAAGAGTGAGCGGCTCCTTCTAGGTCAACAGATAGCTGAGTTGTTGCCAGGCAACGGCCCGGCTCCTCTTCCTTGCCAGCCTCGCTGGGTGGCGTCGGGCACCTCACAGCGCCGAGCGCAGGCCAATTCCAGCAGCCGGCCTCGGGGCACACGCTCTGCACAGGGGGCCGGGGTGGCAGCCGCCATGTCATAGCCTAGCCGGGCGGGACGGCGGTTGCCCTGTGATGGGATTTCAAGGAAGCGCGGGGGCATTTTGCTGAGACACGTTGCTCATGCCCAGCTTGGGGGCCTCCATCCGTCCTCGGCCAAGCCCTGCTGAGACCCACCCTATGCCTTGCCAAGCATCCTGCAGCTTCCTGGTGCAGGAATAACGCTTTGCCCTCAGCCGAAGAGGGAGAGGTCATGGGTATTGGTGCTATGGGGAGGAAGGGGGGGGCTTTGAAACCCTCCCACCCAAACACCTGGACATAGCTGACACCCCACAAAGCTTGGCTGAAGCCATCAGCCTCCCCCCCAGGAGAATGATCTCTTCAGCCTGCACCTGTGATCTCCTTGCTGGTGCCCCATTCTGTCCAGGAGCTGGATCCACATGGCTCTTTAACACCCCTCTGCACAGGGCTATCAGGGACCTCAGGAGGTCATCTAGTCCAACCCTCTGCTCAAAGGAGAACCAATCCCCAATTTTTGTCCCAGATCCCTAAATGGCTCCCTCAAGGATTGAACTCACAATCCTGGGTTTAGCCGGCCAATGCTCAAACCACTGAGCTATCCCTCCCCCCATGGATGTAGTGGGACGTAAGCAGTAGGTAGACCTTGCATCACTCCCTCAACCGCAGGCAGGAGGGGTTAACTTTAAGGCCTGCCGTGGCCTTTTGCAATAAGCAAATCCAGTCTCGTGCCTTCATTCGGGATAAACCAACAGTGGGATGGCTGCTCTGGAGACATCATCCCCGGAGAGCTCCTGCAAGCCCTCCGTCCTTGTTACTCGGGCCTTTGTGCCCCTGCAGCGACACCGGCTGTGCTGTGAAGTGGAAAAGGCTTGTTTGGAAGCTGCCCCTGGCAGCGACAGTCACCATGGAGCAGCCTCTTGCGGCTGGTGCATCGGGGCAAATGCACCTCCAGAGAACAGCTGTGGGGACCAGCGGTGAAGGAGTTAGAGGCCCTAGAGTGGCTGGAACGGGTGCTGTCTTCTCCAGTCTGTGCATGTCTCACCGGCCTCCCACTGGTGGCAGTTCTGGCTGGAAGCCTGTGCCCCATGCTGAAGCTTTCCAAGCGGCTGCATATCCTACCATGTAGGAGTGAGGGCTCAGTCCCTCTAACTCTGTGTGAAGGGCCTGTCTCGGGCCCCACTGGCCCATTCTGTTTGCCCTGCTGGCAGGGGAGCAGTTTGCTGATGGGGAGGGAGGCGAATGTGAGGGCAGCCGGTGCCGGATGCCAAGCCCCACTCAATCCTTCCAAAAAGCCACACAGCACTTCCTCCTGGGCCCATCCCCTTCACTCACCGCAAACACAGCCCCTCCCAGCAGGCCAATATCAATCGGGGACTGTGGCCCTTTAAATGCCACTCTGCATCTGTCTGCCTAGGCCCAGTGAAGACGGGGTGCTGGCCCTTTAAACCAGGCACCACCGGGTCACGCTCAGAAGTGGCAGATTGGCAGGTGGCTCGGGTGGGTGGGCGAGCGGGGGGCGGTGTTCGGATTTGTTTCCAGGCTCTTGTTTGATTTGGCCATGATGGCATAAGTGGGAAGGCAGGAACTTGGGAGGTTCTTTTGCCTTCAGAAGAGAGGTGGGGGAGGGTGTCCTTTCCCTTGGGGGAGCGAGGAAAGGCTGGCAGAAAGTGTGTGTGTGCTCGTGCGGGGGTCAGAGACAAAGAGGGGGAGCTGGAACCGCCGAGGAGGCTGGTTTAGCACTCCCCCCAAAAAGGGGAAGTGGGGTTTGCATCGGAGAGTCCCAACCCCCGCCCCCCATTCTCTCCTGGCACTGTGCAGATGTCTTTCAAGCCTCTCATATTCGCTACAGCAGATCTCACTCCCCCCCTAATCCCCCCAGTCCATCAGTATGGATCATGTGTTTTTCTCCATGGCAACCTCCTTCCTCCCCCCGCCCCAACAATGCAAAAAGCACTTAACTGCAATAGCCATGACCCTGCGGATCTTGCTAACCTCTTCCCACCCACAGGTAGCTGGCGCGCTTTGCCAGCCTCTCCAGCCCAGAGGCCCCAAGGCTGTTCCCTCCCTCCTGGCTGCCGGTGGCGGGTTTAGCTTCCCACCCACAGGTAGCTGGTGTGCTTTGCCAACCTCTCCAGCCTGCAGGCCCCAAGGCTGCTCCCTTCCTCCCTCCCGGCCACCGGTGGCGGGTTTAGCTTCCCGTTCCTGGAACTTGCGCACCAGGCTCCTTGACGCCACTGGCGGTTTTCCCATCCCGTCTCTCTTTCTTAACCTGTCTGCAGCCCAAAGTCGACGTGCCCACCCCCTCCCTTCGCTGGCAGGGAGACGCGTGACGAGAATCTATCTGTCAAGCGCCCAGTCGCTGTGGTCTGGAAAGCCCCCTTCGTCCTGCGAGCTGGGGGCCCAGATCCCTCCCTGACACCGAAGGACAGTAAAGGGTGCAGCGCCGTGGCCAGGAGAAAGAGCACCCGCTCTGATGCAAGTTCCCCACAGCCTCGAGTGAGAGGCGGGCTGGGAGGGGAGCAGTGCGCTGTTCAGTCATGTTCACGGGGCCACGGTCACATTGCGCAAGGGCAGCCTGGGCCTGCTGCCTCGTGCTCCGCCAGCCGCTGCTCCAGGGCGGGGGAGATTGTCCCAGGATCTGCTCCCTGGCTGGTGGACACAGAATCTCTGCTTCCAGGGCTTCATGCCCAGCACTCAAATCTGTACCCCGGGGCTCATTCCAGCTAGGCACGGAGCCCTGCTGCCCCCAGGAGCTGAGCACCTGCTGAAATCATCGGGACACCGGAGCACTCAGTCTCTTGCAATAACTGCTCAGTGGAATCACAGGGCTGCTTTCACTGCCATCAATGGGAGTTTTGCCATGAACAGGGGAGCAGGGCTGGCCCTCAGCAGGGCACGCTCGTTCCTCTTCCTGTCAGACTTTTCCCCACAGCCACAAAAGCCTCCTTCCCTAACCCATTCTCCCCCGGCCTTGCCTCCCGCTCAGCCCATGAGAGCCACCTATGAACTCTGCACTCCACCACACCCACTGGCCATCTCCTCCTCCCCTGCCTCCCCTCATCACATCGCTCATTACAGGGGCCTGCCCTTGTCTAGCCCCCAAATCTGCTGCCTCATCTCGATGACCGCACCCGATTTACAACATTTGTGCTGAGTCAGGGAGCACCCAGCTGTTCCCAGCTTCTGTGGTGATAAGCGCATTCCAGGCGCGAGATGCCCCAGAACAATGTGAGCTGCACTACCGGACCAAAGCCACCCCTGCTGCAGCTCTAGCCCATCGTCCTGCTACAGCAGTCGCTCTCCTGTGCCCCTTGTTTTTGCGTATCGGACAAATAGGAGGTACAATAATAATAACAAAACTTTTAACCTCCAAGCCACCTTCCAGCAGAAGATCTTAAAGCACTTTGCAATTGCTAAAGAATCCAGTGTTCCAGTATCAGTGGGCACTGAGGGTGAAGAGTGAGGCTTTCCTATTCCCAAGGATCACAGTTCCAGTTCTTCTCCATTGGCCCTATCCATTTTGTTAGCCTTTAACCTTTCATTCTTCCTTAAATCCCTCCATTTCCAGCTCTTATGGTCGTGGAGAAAGCGCTTCAAATGGGCCCCCGTGGCGGGCTGTGTCTCTACGCCTGCAGACAGACAAACTGGAAGAATAGTTCGGAGAGGTTTGGATTTCCCCATTCGTCTGAATGAGGTGTTGACTCTCAAACATAACAACTTGCTGCCAGCACTGTTGCCTATTTCACTACTGATCCAAGTAATGAGTTTAGTCAGTGTCTGGATAACACAGATGTCAGATACAGCAAAGAGCAATTAGGCCCCGTAATACCCTCCTTGCCAGTGCAGGATTAGTCTGTAGCACTATATTCTTCCATCTAGCTTTAAAAGTCCCAAGCAATGCGGCTTCCCTCTCTTCCCCTGGGAGCTTGTTCTACTACCCTACTGGGCCCCTCCCTCACTGTTAGGCCCTGGTTTTTGCAGGCTACATTTTCCTTCTCTTGATTCCACCCTGTTACTCCTCATTACGTGTCAGGCTGAAAGCAAGAAGGAGGCAGCAGTCACCAAGGGAGAAGGGGCAATGTAGTCCCAAGGCAGAGCTGCTTGGGGTGATACCATGGCCAGTGGGGCCACAGCAGACTCCCAACACTTACCTCCCCCAGTACTTCAGCTCCTGATTATGCCCATTTCCCAGTCAGGAAAACCAAGGGCGGCCGGAGGTGATTCACCCCAAGGTCACACAGGATGAGCTGGGACTAAAACCCGATAGGCCTGGCTGCCCCTCCATGTGCCCCTCCTCCCCATAGCCCCTAAGCCTGTCCGCCGTTCCTGCTCACCTTGTCCCTTGCTATAATGGGTGATGCATTATAATGCACCGGGCTGGAAGTGCAAGGCTCTGCCAGGAGACCTGTGCTCACCCCTCACCTCCTTCCTTGTCCAAGCTGTCACCTTTCTCTGATGGCCCCATCCACTGCTATTTGTCTCCCCTTCTTCCTCCTGGAACCTGCTTCTCCCCCTTCCACACCAGGGTCAGGGCTTTAGCAGAGCTGCTCCTGAATTGCACCCGTCCAAAGGCAGGAATCTGGTCCCAGCTGGGCACCTGGTTGCTGTTACCAAAAAGCATGTGGTTTCTGCAGCCCTTCGCTGGATCAGGCCTTTCACCAGCTCTGCTGGCCCGCCCTGAGCAGAGCTACTAACAGGGACTGCAGCCTGTCTCCCAGGCCCACTAGCCACATCCATCCCTGCTTGTAAGGAACAGAGGCTCTGGGCAACTCTTGCCTCTCTTCCCCCTACATCTTGCATGGCCAACCTCAAGCATTCAAAATCAGTCCCCACCCCGCTCCCCGGCCCATCAAATTATGAGATAGGGTTAAAACTCATGAGGTCTTTTAACCCAGTTAGACTTGGGGGGTTGTTTTCTTTGCCTCCCGGGCTCAGCGCGTCACACTTTCAAGCTCTTCTCTGCACCACAAATACCAACGGACTCCCCCCAATAAAAGCCGAGATTCTTGTGTCACTCCACGACGCCCGGAGCCGGGGCTTTAAGAAAAACGCCAGCTACCGGGCACACTGGCAACACAGCCC